CTCAGTGTTTCCGCAAGGCCACGTTCCTCCAGGGCAGCCAGCAGCCAGTGCCTGAGCGGAGTGGTCGTGTTAGGACTCACATGTCTGGCCAATGTGGGTAAACTTTGCACTACGCTCTCTGAGGCGCCTCTATCTCTGTCGCAGAGTCTGCTTCTGGGAAGGACCTGAATCGACACCATGGCCGTTGGTGACATCAGTGAGAGATGTTCAGATGGAATTACGAGGCGGGAAGCCAAGCCAGGGTGAATTAAGAGTGAGTAGAAATTGATGAAATGGACAACCCGTTCATTGGAGGGGGCTTGGATGGGCCAAATGCTTTTGGCCACTTGAGAACAGAAACTTCTTGAAAGTATCCCGTAGTCCTCAGAAAGGGGTGAGAACCATCTAAAAGCAAATCAAAATAACAATGGTGAACCATTTTCTCTTTCGTGGGTACATCTTCCTCAAAGCCGAATTTTTTCGGATGCCAAAGAAAAGCTTGTCCATTAGCACTGCCTCCTCTTTTCCATTTATTGGAAAGTCTTCAACTTCTCACTTTCTTTGCCACCCTTAGCAGAATCCAAAAGCTGTTTAAAGCCCTTGAGGAGATGACAGAGCTAATAAAGCGCTGAAATCAGCACTTTCTGGAAAAAGATAAACTTCGAGTTTTTTCTCCAACCGGTGCTAACGAGAGGAAATTCTGGGATGCACTTCAGATAGAGCGAAAAGGTCCCCAGTGGATAGTCTGAAAAGCAACAAGGATTAATGAACAAAGAAAATGAAAATAGGTGCATAAATGGAAACAGAATTACCTGGATCAAACAGAAACAACAATAATGTTCTGCAGACTTTTTTGTTTTTTGTTTTTTTTTAAAGAGTCACACATAACAAAAAGAGCACATAAATTGGGAGGGGAAGCTCAGAGTTAAAAATGTTCTAAGGATGATGTAGGAGGTGAGGAGAGGGTACAAATATGGATTACCCACAGATTTGATCTAAACATGCTAACATGTTTAGGGAGGCAAGACAAGGGTAGTCAAGTGTTCAGCTTTTCCCCAAGGAGGGAGGAAAACAAATGATAAAAAAAAACTCTCCACTGTTTGCAAGGCGCAGGCAGGTCTCTTTCCTGGAGCGCGCACCTGACTGGGCCCGAGGGGTGGCCAAGGGGTAGGGGTTCAGTGGACCAGGAGTTACATGCACCGAGCTGGGCTGTCCACACCGTTGCATGCGAGGCCCCTCTCGGCGAGTGATGGAGCCGTGGGCCAGGAGAGAGGGAGGGTAGGCTGTAGGCTGGGGCCTCCATATGTAACCCCACCCAGCCCCCACAAATGTTAGGGAAGGAAGGAAAGATGGAAGGAAGGGAGGATGGAAGGAAGGTCATCTAAGGGTGGCACCTCTGAATGACCACTCATCCTGACCCGGAATGGAATTGCAGGGTCAGCCACAGGCTAAGAGTCCCCAGGGCGGGGGGAGGGGGGGTGCGGTAGGCAGGTGGGTATGTGCATCCTGGGAACTCCCGGGGGACACTTCTGATGCTGACTCCTAGGTGCAGGAGTGTGAAATCCAGGCTCCCTGGCCTCAGGTTAGGATAACTCTGGGTACATCTTACCTTCCAGAGTCCCCAGCAAATTCAGGTAGGACCTACAACCACAGGATCAGCCTGGAAGCTCACCCTTGCGTGGCTTCCTCCCCTTCCCTCCCTGCTTCCCTCCCTCCCTCACCATGTCCCCCGGTACCCCAGAAGAGGGGCCTGGGGAGAACTCTCCCACCCTCTCCTACTTGTCTGTCCCCTTCCTCTTGACTCCTGCTCCCAGTCTCCCTTCTCCCCTGTGCCAGTTATTACGCTCCCAGTCCACCCTACTCGGCTCTGCTCTGTCCCATGGAACCATCGTCACAGGACTCTGACCCTCCCCTGTCAGTGGTCCCTGTGGGGCTCTGCCAGTAGGGGGCACTAGAGGGGAGCCCAGGGCTGCAGCCAATAGCAGGCGGTGCTCCCTTCTGTCTGTGTCTGTTCCCATCAGCGTCAGCATCGCCCACACCCCCTGTAACCCCAACAGTGCAGTGGTTTCCAGCTTTCTGCCTCCCTCAGTCCTAGGACCAGCCTCCCCCTGACCTCCCTCTGACAGACCAGTACCCGCTGGTTGGTGAGTCCGTCTCAGAGATGTGAGTCCAAGTGTCCGCTAGAGGCTGAGGTCTGGGTCCAACTCCTCAGGGCCCCTTCTCTAAGTTTCTAGGACCTGGATTCTTAAAATCCTTCTTCCCTTTGTTCCTTGAGAATGCTAGCTGCTTCTTCCCATTACAATATCTGCACATTTTTTTGCCTTTAGGTTCTTCAACACCTGTTCAGCCAATTCACTATATGAAATTGTCTCGGTTGAAATAAGAGGTGAGGTTTGCCTTCCTGGCTGAACTCTATAAGAACTTTCTCTTCCTCTCTCTCCCCATTTCTTCCAGAGCCATGATCTCAATGCATCGCCTCCGGTTCCCTTTGCGAGGTAAGCGATAAACCCAAATGATCAATTTTAAAACTCAGCTTTTCTTCAAGATTCCCATGAATTCCCGTGAACCTATCAATGCAAACAAAAGGAAAAAACCTCCACCGTTATGAAAATTGCGTGTCGAGAGAAGTCAAATCATCCTGACAAAATTTTCATTGGCAAAATTTGACTTGAGGAATTGTCGAAGTCTTCTGTGCAGCGGAATTACAGGGTCAGATGTGTGTGGGGTTTTGATGTGTTTTGGCTGCTCAGTGTCCATTTGCAATTCTCCTAGTAATTGCCTCAGTCCCGCCCTCTACCGCTTTGCACTAGAAGGGTCAGAGGGGGCTACTCTCCCCAGCCGTGGTGGGGAGAGCTGACACGGGGCTCAGGCTTGGCTCTTTCCCGTGGGACTTGGGGTTGAAAGCCTGGCAGCTGGAGCTTCTCTTGCCATTTTGCCGCTGTAGGCAGACTGAGAATCAAGCCAGCTTTGGGAGGAGAGTGGAACTGAGTGGTGAGATGGAGACACTGAGCCTGGGTGATGTCCACTGAGCTTTTATACTGAGCCACTATGGAAACTAGCCTTACACGGGTAATTTTCTTTTTGCTTAAGCCAGTTTGTGCCATTTGCATCAAAAGAGGTCTACCAATGTAACAGATTTCTCTAGAAGATTTGAGTGAAAAACTTGAAGCCACTGCAATGGTTCAGGCATTCGAACAGTGGTCGAGAACTGGAAAGTAACAGGGAGAGTCAAGAAATACTTAAGAGGTAGAATCTGGAAGACTTGGTTACTGAGTAAACATAGTGGATAAGAGAAATGGAAGCCTCCAATGAAAAAGATGGAGCTCAGATCTGGGTAATAAGATCAACGGCTGATGATAAAATCACTGCCTTGAGGAGAAGAATGAGTGTAGAGTTGAAGAATTCCATTTTGGACATGAGCATGAGGTGCCCATAGATCACCCGAGGCAGTGTGATCACACCAGAGCAACTGGGTGTGAGTCTGAGACTCAGAAGAGCGGTCACGTGGTGCTGAAGATCTACCATCACCTCCACACAGATTAGTCAGAAACATGAAGATAAATGGAGATGGTGTGGGGTGAGACCAACCCCAGCCTGAAGGCAGCATCCTGGGAAACATAAAGGACAAGCTGAGAAGTGGGAGCCCACCAAGGAGACCAAGGAGAGAGTAACAAAGACGCACGAGGACAGCCAGGAGCACAGCCGTGAAGTACGGGAGCTTCGCTGTGTGATGTCATGGGCCACCTTGTCCCATCTAGGAAAGCAAAATGAGTTCTTTCCTGAATACACTGGTGGATTTTAAATAATCTGTGTCCCTGACTTCCTTCTATCCACTCTGTTCATACCTTCTCCTCTTCCGGGTCACCAGGGCCTCCACCAAAGGATGGGAGGAAAAAATACGGAGACGGGGACTCTGAGCAGGGAAAGGAAAGCTTTGGGATGGCACGGTGTCTGCTGCCCTGTCTCTTTTTGAAGTCACTGCACTATGGCCAGGCACAGGGGCTGAATTTGGTTCCTGCAGCAATAATTGGTCGTAACTTTACAAGTGGTTGCTTCAGTTCACTCCTGGGATGCGATTAGTGTTCAGGATACCTGAGGTTTAGACAGTCCCTGGCAGATACATGCTGATGCTAAGCGGAAAATTTTTAAAATCCGTCTTGAGAAAGAGAAAGCCACTCTTGCTTGGTTATGCTCCCTGGTTGCTCCTTCATCCGACCACCAGCAGGGCTGTTAGAAGGTGCAGTTGCTGCCGCCACAGATTCCGTCACTCCTCCCATCCCGCGTGTCTCATCCAGTCTTGTGTATTTCACAGTCGCCTGTACTTCCTGTCCTGCGCCCAGAGGTTACTGGGAAAATCTTCCGGTGTCCTCATTCCTGCCCCAGCCCCATTCGATTGAGTAAAAGAGCGTGTGCCGTGGGCATGATGAGAATCTCAGCGCTTCATCCTGAAACTGGGCTGATTTTTTTGGGGTGGTGATACAGAAAATGTTAAAAGCATAGTTAAAAGAAATGAGGCACGTTTATAAATGTGTGGACCATTTTCAAAAGAGACCCACCATAAGCAGGTAACAGTGCCCTGGGGTGAGGCGGAAAACGGCTCTTTTGTACCCTTTGAATTTCAAATTGTGAATCTATATAGAAAAATCAATTTAAAATTACGTAAAAAGGCAATAAAGCCACTAATAGAATACAAATTCCAGGAAGAAAAAAAAATCCTATTACATAAAAGGTAAATTCACAGAAACAAAAAGGAGGGATTCACTCGAGCAAAAGCTAATCAGATGGTCCCTGTTTACTGTCTCTGAGTCTCTGCCCATCTTATGTAGATCACAGAAGGGAGGGTGGAGAATCACCCTAATTCCTAGATGGGAAATGGGGGCTAGGGACCCTTGTGGTGCCACTGTGGGTCCAGGAAAGGGAACCACTGCTGACACTTGATTTCGCAGTCACTAATTAGTGACAGAATTCCTACCCCCTCCCAGGACAAAGGCAGCCCAGACTCCGCCTCATCTACATACATGGAAGTGGCCAGAGGCCGCTGCTGCTGGGCAGGGCTGGATGGGAGGGCGTGGGGGTGGGGATGCGGTGTGAAGCAGGGGCGGTGAGGGTTTGTATGTAGCGGGTAGAGGGCTCTACAGAGCTTGTGTTTGTGGGAGAGAGAGGGGAATGTCACAAGGCTGCTTCGGGGTTAGGACACCTGTGGTGACTCCAGGATGCAGCCAGGCAACAGGAGCAGCAATGGGGACAGCAGAGGAGGCCGTCAGGTGAGTGCCAGGAAGAGGAGCCGAACGTGGAGACTGTTCTGACTGGTTCATGCCCGGAAACTCGGACCACTAAGCCACCCACTAACATCCGCCTGCCCTGACATCCACCTGCCCGGTCCACTTAGCACTACTGTTACTAACAGGTGGCTGCTGCCTCCTGGCCTCCAGGACACCGGTGGTGCTGTGGGTCGTTCCATCTCTGCTCCAAAGTCAAGGCTTTCTGAAGCGGTGGAGAAACGGGCTGGGCAGCGGGGGCCGGGGCACGGCGGAACTGCCTGGCTCCATAATGCCTCTGCCACTCCCGGACTGTGACTCTCTGGGCCTCAGTTTCATCCTCCGCAATAACAGACAATAATAATAATAGAGATAATAATAATGATAATGATATGATGATGATGATGATGATACCCCGAAGGGTTGTCAGACAGTCATATGAGAATATCCACTTGAAGTGTTTAACAAATGACATAGTAAGTGCTGAATAAACGTTGAGACGAAGCCCTCAGAACCTTTATTCCCCAGCCAAGTACCCTCAGCCTGCTTAGCAGAGGAAGTATGAGGTTTACAGCCGCCGGGCTCCGCGTGTGCTTTAGCACGCTCTCGGGGGAAGCGGTGTGGAAAATGGATTTGGGAGGGAGGAGGCTCAAGACTAAGAATCCAGGGAGAAGTCTGCAGGCAGCCAGATGGGAGGTGGAGGGGCGGGACCTCGGGCCCTTGGCAGTGTGATTCGTTATTTTGGAGAAATTCTCTCTAGGACCCGATAACAGGCTGGGAGCGGGCCCTTGGCCCAGGGCCGGGCTTTGATGGCGGGAGGAAGATGGAAGGTAGGGAGGGCAGCTGCAGGGAAGATCCTGAGGGGGGCGGGTGGGGGTGACACGTGCGGCTTGGGACTTGAGGCAGAAGCAGCAGGCCCATGCGCGGCTGTGAGCGGCGGGGTGGGGTCCGAGCAGGAGGCAGAGTATTTATGCACGTGGGGGGTCCGCTTCCCGGCGCAGCTGGCCCGGTCTAGGTGCGGTGCAAGGAGGTGCTAAGCCCGATTTCCTCGGTGTGCCCGGCTAGGCCCCCCAGGGGCGCTCGCGGACACTGCGCCGGGGACCCACCAGGAGTGCCACCTCGCCGGCTTCCTTCCTCCCTCCCACGCACCCTCCCTGCGTACCTCACCGTCCTCAGTCCGAGCTCCCATTCTGCCAACCTCCCCGGCGCCTCCGCCCTCCTGCTTCCCATGACCTCAGTTAGACGCGCTGGGGAGCAAGCCGAGGCCGGTTTTCCAGCCGGCCGCCGGCCAGACCGCAGAAACCGCCGCCGCTCGCTCCCGGCGGCCGCGCGCCCTCCGCGGCCCGGGCGGGCCGGGCGCAGGCGGCGGGGAGGGGGCCCTCTCTGCGGGATCCCCCAGCCCGGGCTCGGCCCGCGGAGGGTCTCGGTTTGCACAACCGGCAGAGTTCTGACCCCGCCGGCCCGAGCGGCTTCTGCGTGCTGGGCGATCGCGGGCGGTGCGCCGCTCACCGCGGGGTTTGAGCGCGCGTCCCCCTCTTGACCCCCGCGGGTCAAGACCAGGGTTGGGATTATCACGCGCTCCCTGCGCCCCGAAGCTCGAGGCGAAGCAGGACCCCCCAAAGGGCTGCCGCTCTGCCTTCCGTGCCTCACTTTTCGCGGTGGACGAGCACCCCGGGCCTGGTGGAGAGCGACCGACCACCCATCGCCTCCTGCGCACGGGGAGGGAGGGGACTTTGCCGAGATTTGCGGCTGATGGGAGATAACGCGCCCTTAAGGCGCAAGTCCCTGGAGTTTGCTGCGTTCATGTTTTCCATCAATACAGCCAGAGCGTAATGTAATTAACTTTCTTTTTCTTTTCCCCAAAGGGAGAAAATAAATCAGATTCGGAGGAACAGACTATCTCCCCAGCTTGGGGGCGGTGAATTCCCCGCAGCCGGGGTTTCCTGCGACGATCCTCAGCGGCGGAGGGTGGCCTTCTGGACACTCAGAAAGTTCAAATGAGCTGTACTTTATTTAAAGCGATGTCTACATACATACACTTTATAATTTTTGGCCGTCGGGCAGGAGGGGAAGGCGGAGCCTGGAGCGAGACGGATTCCCCGACGGCGCTCCTGGGAAAAGGCGTGCAGGGGCCGGGGATGAGGGTGAGGGGGGCCGGGAAACACACGCAGCTCCCGGTGCCCGACACCATCCCGAGGGAGGAGAGCCGAACAGCCTCCCGTTGCCCAGGCTGGGAAATCTCGGCGTGGCGCTGCCCGTCCCGACACTCAGAACTTCCAGTCACCTCCAGCGGGGTCTCAGCCTCTCCCTCCGCCCTGTTGTCCTCCACCCCTCTTGCGTATCTTGGAGGTTAGGTTAGTCGTCAGAAGCATGTTTTGTATTTGGCAATCCAAAGCCTCAACTTCTCTGCTAGGCCCAAATTTCTGCTCATCTGGAATTTTAAAGGCCAAGGGAGACGGAGGAGGCGGTGTTGTGGCCTTTCTATTCTTTCAGGCCTGGCGCGCGGGCAGGGGAGGGGTGGGGGAGGACGGGAATTCCCAGCCACCGCCAGAATTCGGGGGTGGCTGCTCTGATCACTCGGAAGCCCACCTTGTTTCCACCACTCAGACAGCACCCATTATTTGAGCCTGGGTTCCTTGGTGGGTCTTGTCCCCTTACTCGCATGCCTACCTAGGGGTCACTTCAAGCTTCCTGAGACCTGCTTGTCCTCCCAAACGTTCCCCAGCACACTGCTGCGCCCTATTTAGCACTACGGGAGCTGTTAGGCCTTGCAGGGCAATGTGGCAGCGCTGGGCCATTTCAAGAGGTAAATGTCACCTCTGCAAGGGTCCCACAGACTGGTCAGTTTTGCCTTTTCCTGGCAGGTCAGTGACGTGCTGCCTCTGGGGGTGACTTGCCTGGTCATCTGGCTTCTGGAATGTCCCAAATAGGACAATCAGAGCTTCACTGTTGATGGCATTTTCCAACATGTGAAGCAGGAGGGTGAGGTATCTCCTAAAACAGGGGAATCAGGGAGTTAAGGGGTCTGAGATGCAGGTTTGATGTGGTGCTGGGGAGAGAGGGGAAAGTGGATTGAGGAAGGAAAGTTATTATTAGGTTGCTGGGCAAGGCATTAGGGGTTCCACTGATACTGGCGAGCAGGATGCTTACAGGGAGGGAGTAATGGGGAGGGAATGACCGACAAAAAACCCTAGGGCTTTGCCAGGCTGCACTGAAGGGAGGCCTCTTAGGGCACTGGCAGTGGTGCGGAGGGCGGTGAGTAAGGGGAGAAAGACAGAGTCAACTGATAGAAGAACAATGAGGGCGCTTGCTGGGGGATGGGCAGGGTGGGCGGACCCTGATCCTGTGAGATCAGAAGTTCTCAGGGACCACTTGTTGACACCTATGCTTTGAAAAATTAAGATTTTTTAAAAATCAATGCTTTTATAATGGTTTTAGGAAAGAAGAAAGTATACATGAATTAGCTATTATGAGCCTTCTTTTGAAGTCCATCTCTCAGTCCAGAAGCGTGCCTCACTTTACAAAAAATAAAGAAAAATCCAAAGTTAAAAGATATATTGGGAGAGGGGGACAAAAATTCATAATTGACAAGATGACTCACTAGAGTTTCCTCAGAGATGTCTAGGAAATTCCAAGAGGCACACATTGCCCCTCTGTTTAAATCTATAATAAACAACGTAAAGTGAGTTTCACTTATTTCTTTCAATGAGAGGAAGGGGCCCATTTAGCCAACCAAAAAATCATCTGTAGAGAGAGGCATTCTTGATTTTTAACTGAGAGACAGCAGCGCAAAACCAAGAATGTCAACTGGGCATTATCCATGTCAGTGACATATGGGTATCATACTCATATAATTAAGATTGGTCTTTAATGTGGGAATTTAGGGGATAAATATAACCTCCAAAATCGTTAACCTCCAGCAAAGACGATGAAGTACATATTAACAAAGTTTAACGAGAGAAACACTGCTGTGGGTGGATATTTTTATGGGAACATAACAGCTATTTTGGGGCCTAAAAAGGACAGAGGGGCTCCAGCGTGATTCACTTGCATGCCAACTGCTTTCACATGGCGGGGGAGTGGGGCTCGCTGGAGAGAAAGTCAGGCGAGCTCTGTCCAGTGATGACGTCTCAGACAAAACATTAACGTAGCAGAACTATTGTGAAACTTGAGAAACAAAAATGAGAGCCTGGGATGGACCCTAGACCTCTTGATCTGGAATCTCCTGGGGAGGGCCCAGGGCACCTGGTTGTGGAAAAGCCTCTACAGGTGGTTTGGATGTACCACTTCGGGGCTGGGAACCACACAGCCTTGGACTTCCGAAGGGGGGTCAGTCCGAGTCTTTCCCCCTAGGGGCAGAGAGTCAACCCCCAAAGGGCTGTTTTCATACCTAAAAGTCTGAAAGATCCTGTAAGGCCAGACAGCCCTCCTATGACTGACCTTTAACAGAGAAAAAGTGCAGTGTTCTCCTTCCCACAGACACCACGTGGAGCCAGCGTGGGGGCACAGTGCATGGGGCTGTCACCAGGGCAAATGCAATGCAGCCAGGGCCAAGATCTGTTCCTAAGCTTATGAGCCTTCGCTTTAAGGCCTCCCAGAAACACTGGATAGAGGATGCTTTGCAAAAGCAGGTGGGGACGGAACTGGGAAACAAGGTCACATCGGTGATGATTAAATGAGAATTAGGCGAGGAGTCTAAAAAGTGCTCTGCACTCTGGGCTCTTTGAAGATGGATGCGTCTTATAGGATCTTACAAGTTCACTGACACCCTTGCTGGGCCCCAGACCCACTGATAACTGGATGTATGACTCAGTGCCCGAGGAGCGCTATTCCCTCATATGTAAAAAATGACCTTAGACGCAGGCAGGGAACCCATTCTTTTGGATTTTTTATAGACTAGTTAAGTGTCAGAACTTTCGGAAACTGACACATGGTTATCAATATGTATATCAAGCAAGGACACTGAAATGGGTGAAAAGCTATGATCTACTGTCATTTCATAAAAGAGGGCTATTTTATATAAGAAAGGAAGGCTAACTTCAGAGTTTTAAAATTGCACATTCAACTTTAAAAACAACCCTATGCTGTGGACTGATGGGAAGTTCATCATCAAATCATCTCTGCAAACTAAGGCTCCTTCACCTTGAACATTTAGGGGCGGCTGCACTGCTTGGAGATGAAATTAATTTACTCAAAAAAGTGGTTTCAGGGCTCGAAGGGAACTCTGAGGAGTTCAAGTGCAAAGATCTCATGGTATTTTGCCTCAGTTTCCAATACTGAGAATTGTCTGTTGAGTGCTAGCAGCCAGAAACTGTATCAGTGCCTTGAAGAGAAGTAAAAAAATACAAATTGTGGCAAATAGAATCATGGAAACTTGGAAGTTGGAAGGTTTTTTAGCAATGATCTCACCCCTATGGTTTTCAAACTAGTGCTCCGCGGAGCCACAGTGGTGCTGCTGGAAGGAACGGATCTCCATTTTAATTCTTATAAATAATTGAGGTTCCAATTAAGATAGAGTTCAATTGCTTAAGAAAAAATGCTTGAACACCACCAATCCAGTGTATTTCAAATTTAAAGGGGAAACTGAGGCTGAAAGAGCCCTGGGATTTGCCCGTGGCCACCTATTTAGTTGGCAGAACTTGGGGGCAGGACAGCAGTGGACTGGGGAAGGAAGGATTCTTAATATAGTGTTTGCTCCCACATTCATCAGCGGCTGTACCAAATCATCCCACCGCTCCACTGCAAGGAGAGTCAACCCTTATCCTTCCCCTTCCAGAAGGTTCCGACTGGCTCCTTTCCATACTGAACTTTGCATTCTGCTTGGCACGCCGTTCCTACGTAATTATGACAAACATTTCATTGACAACTGTTGGAAACTAATTTTTAAACTCCAGGTCTGTATGCTTGCTCCCATTTTGACTACCAATGATAAAAATCTTTCAAAGCATTTCATTAATATTTGAAGATAAGGGCTAATATCTGTATAAACATCATATTAGGATTCCAAGGTCATGTCTATGTAAAAAAAAGGTACTTTATGAAAGATACATTTTTATTAAAATGACTGAACTCTACTGTCTGATACATAAACTGAGATGAAGAGGTATCCACGTTCTTACCTGCGTTCCTTTTACAGCTGACCCGACAGCAGTCCAACAGCGCTAATGCCAAGTCTACCACAGACTGCCCATCACGTTCGTTTTGTAGCATCTGATAAGTCTGGAAACATCTCAGCTGCAAGTAGCAAAAACAATGACTAACTCTATGTAACCTAAACCAGTGAATTTTCAAACTGTGGTTCCCAATCATTAGTGGGTCATGAAATCAACTTAGTGGGTTATGAGAACATTAAAACACACACACACACACACACACACACACACACGAGCCAAAAGTGCAATACAAGAGAAATTATCCAAGTATGTTGCATGCCTTAAGGGAAAAATTATTTCATAAACATTTTCTTTCATTCATATATATGTATTAACTGAAATAAAATATATTTCACAGCCCCCAACATTGCCCTAGAGAAAAACATTCTTGGCCATAAAATCCCTTGAGAAAAGATTTTCCTTTCTTTTTTCCCGTTTCTGAGCAATGGTTGCACACCGCAATGGCTGGCTCCTCCAAAGGCCCCCCTCCCCTCAACACAGCAACAATTCGCTGTGATCTCTGGAGCACCACTGTTTCCTGGTTAACTGCTATTTTTCTGGGTACCTCCTCCCGTCATGGCCCTGTCAGTTCAAATGAGGGAGCTGCCACAGAGCATCTGCACGCGGGGCAGTAGCCACCTCAGGTCCCGCTTCCATGTGCTCGGCATGATGCCAGCGGCTTTACAGACATGAATCTACAGATTCAACCAGGAGCGGGGCCTCACCTCTCGAGCACATCTTGAGCTCCCAGCACAGAACACACAGGGCCTGAATGAATGCCTCCAGATAAATGAATTCAACAATGAGCACAGTGGAAACTGATGATAAACCATATAAATTAAATTCAACCAAACAGAGTTTTCAATAAAATCAAATGTTTAC